GGATAGAGGAGCCTGGTAGGCTGTGGTCCATGGGGTCGCTAAGAGTCAGACACAACTGAGCAACTTCACTTTCACTTTTCACTTTTTCAAGGTCACCAAGAAAGATATGGTTGCATCTTCGGTCAGTCAGTGTGAGTGACGTGAGGACCTCAGAAGCAGGTGGGTTGAGCTGAGAAAAATAGAAGAAGAAATAGATTCTTACCCCAACTTACCCCAAGAACTATCTATCTAAATTAAATTAGTTTGTCTTAGGTCTCCCTAATCTAAATGATCATCGTCTCTAAAATAATAGAACCCTGCTCTCCATCCATCCATGACCCGCCAACTGTAGCCATGCCACAGGTGGAAAAGAAGGAAACAGTGGCTACAACCTGAGCAGAAAGCACTTTTAAAGACACAGAGGCAGTGGAGTGCTGGGTGAGGGTGTAGCTAAATGGGGGAGTACAGCAGGGCAGGTGAGAGTTACAGGTGTGTGTGCCGTGGCGTGGCCACGAGGGTCACTAAGCAGATAGGTTCCGCTGGATTTGGTCCCCAATGGAACAGAAGCCAAAGGATGAGAGACGAGAGCAGGTGGCCACTGAGCCTCCAGCTTGGCTTCCTGGGATAAAAGCACTGTTAGTAGACACAGGAAGGGAAGAAGATGGGGTGGCAATGCTGAGAGCAGTCTAAACAGGAGACTCGGGTAGGTGTATTCAGGAGAGCCCTCCAGAAGGGAGTTTGAAAAATCAGTGTCAAGCTCTTGGGAAAGGCCTCGAACTGGCTCTCATTGCCTAGATGTGATCAACTCAGTCCCAGTGCAGGGTGACTTTAAGAATGGTCAACAGACCAGAAGCAGCATCTGGAAGAACAGAAGTGTACTTTTTCTCTTTTTTATTGAAATATAGTTGATTTACAGTGTTGTGTTAGTTTTAGGTATATAGCAAAGTGATTCAGTTATATGTCCATGTATAAATATACATACATACACACACACGCAGGTCTCCTTTTTCAGACTACTTTCCATTATAAGTTACAAGATATTGAGTATAGTTCTGTGTGCTTTACAGTAGGTCCTTGTTGTTTACTTATTTTATCTTACATATACTAGTGTATATATGTTTGCCCCAAACTCGTAATTTATCTCTCGCCCCTCTCCAGAAATGCACTTTCTTAAGCTGTGCCTCAGTTCCACTGAGTCAGAATCTCTGAGACGTATTTTAGCAAACTTTGCAGATGGTTTTGCGTGCACTGACGTTTGAAGAGCCCTGGATGAGAAGACTGGATGAGATCACAGAAGGAGAAAGTATGTGCCTGAAAGCAAAGAAGGTTTGCACACTGGACAGTTCCTTTAAGGGGCTGAAAACCAGGAGAAAACAAACAGAAAACCACTCCTCCCCCAAGAAAAACACCATAGAGAGACCGTCAAAGGAACATGAGAAAAATTATGGTGCATTTCAATGTGAATATCAAGAAAAGATAAAATGATATGTGCACTTATTTTTGGCTCTCTGATAAACTGTTAAACTCTGAGTGATGGGACCAGTTAGGGGTATGATAATATCTAGAGTCAGTAGCTCCTAGAATAATCTATTTATTGTTGACAAATCAAGCCTGTCCTATGCTAAATAGGGCTGTGGCCACTTTTGGATAAAATACACTCACTGATGGTATTTATAGCACTACGAATGGTGATATTCTAGTGGGGTAGAAGATCTTTCAGCTGCATTTGGCTTTTCTGCCAAGAACATGTGTCTTTAATCCCACGCTCAAATAGACAAATCATTCATCTAAGAAGCTATAGCACAGTAAACACAGGAAATTTGCAGTGGGTCCCCGGAGGAAGAAACAAAAGAGCTCACTGATCTTGCTCACCTGCAATTTATCAATTTTATGATTTCTCACACAAATATTGAATTAGAGCATTTTAATAACTTTCCTTGAGCAAATGAATTTCTCTCCAATGTTGACTCATAACAGGCACAGAACAAGTACTCTGTGGTCCCTGATGCCGAAAGAAAATTACTTCCAGCAATTATAGCTCAGTTAATGATAGCATTTAGCGGACACGCCATCATCCGAGCAACGACAAAGCCATCCAGAAAGTACTTGTTTCACAGAGCTCTGGGCTAGACTCAGCTCCTAACTCTGGAGTGAAGGTGTCTGGCTTTTGTACAAGTCTGTGGCTGGCATCCTTGAGGCCAGCAGTTGGCTTCCCTAAACTGATGTGGTTACAAGACATGTCAGTAGGGTGGGTGACCAAGCCCAGCTTATTTTTACCTCACTACAGACATTTTTCATTGCCATTCAATGGCTGAAGTGGTCTTTGTTCACTGAATGAATCCTTTCTAGCAGCCCCTGTGTTCACTGGCTTCATGTCATAATTAGACATACTGTGGTTGGTAAAAGCCTCGTTTAAGTAGACAGCATGCTCATGCCAATAATATACACAAAAAAAGAGAGATATACTGATAGACAAATTCAAATTCAACACTCACTCTGTGACCTTGGCTAAGTCACTTATCTAGAGAAGCCTCAGTTTCTTGATCTGAAAAATGGGAATAACAATTCCATCTCCAAACAAGAGTGTTTTATGGATTAAATGAGATGTTGTATATATAATGTTTAGTATTCAATAAAGGATAGACATATTTCTAGTACAGAGTCCATATGTTACTATGCAAATGGCATAATTGGAAATATAGCTCTGGACCCAAATTCTGTCTCTTCCACTTATGGGTCAGGATTTCTTGGTTAAGTTTCTTGACTCTCTGGTTTCCCTCCTATTCACTGGCAAAATGAAGGGGATGAGTTGTAATATTTTAAAATTCCTTTTATCTCACAAATTTCTTACACCCAGGCCCTGGTGGCTCAGATTGTAAAGAATCTGCCTGCAAAGCAAGAGACTGGGGTTCAACCCCTGGGTCGGGAAGATCCCCTGGAGAAGGAAATGGCAGCCCACTCCAGTACTCTTGCCTGGAGAATCCCATGGACGGAGGAGCCTGGCGGGCTACAGTCCATGGGGTCGCAGAGTCGGACATGACTGGATGACTTCACTTTCAGGCACTTTTACCAATTGCCCTGAGACATTCCTACGTTCAAAATTAATAATAAAATGGGTTCTAATGTACAAAGCACATAAAAGAGAGTTTATAGATATGCCTCCATTTCTCCAAATTTCCAAAGTAACTTATTTGAGTGAAATAATACATTCAAACAGAAAAATGACAAATTAAAAATTTCACAGAATGTAACCTGTGTTATCACCAACCAAATCAAGGACTAGAACTTGACCTGCACCCCAGAGCCTCAGACCAGTATATTCTGTGAAAGAATATCTATGAACTACATACAAGGAACAGTATGTAGGCTTCTAATGAAAACAATAAGAATGCCAACCACCATCAAAATTAAGTTTAAAAAAGAGTCAGGTGGATATATAAAGCATTTGGGATGAGAATAATTAAAAGATGAATCAAGATAAGTAATCTCAACATGAAAATCTAACACTAACTTCTAGAATCTTAATTATGTCCATATGAACTTGGTCAGTAAAAAAAAAAAAATCCACATGGAATATACTATTCAGAAGAAGCCAGATTTCTTTAGATGATCATTCCCAGCCCTGGTTTCTGAGGTCTCTCCCATGAGCCTTCTGGGGCTCTAGCCAACTGCTTGAATTTTTACAGTTTGCTTCTCAGATTTGCAGTGCTTTTCCCTGGCTGTTGGTAGAGAGAGTTTCAATACAGGCAGACCTGTGTACATTTGGAAACAGCAGTCAGCATGCTGAAATGTAGCTTCCCTCTGGCTGCATCATTAAACATGCCTATCTGCTGAGTTCCAGAGAATAATTCTCAATGCATGCACACTTTTCCTACTACCATATACTAGCTTTAAACATCAATAGGCTCCATTAAAGTCACAATAATATTCTCCCAAGCTTGACATCTAAAGCCATGTGTAAGAGAAATTATTTCGTAGGAAGTGCAAACTCCCTTGCCTTTTACTTTTGCTTTAGCTTAAAAAAAATTTTTTTTAAAGAGAAAGAAACTTGTAGATGCTACTGACAATTTTAAAATGATTATGGGTTCTCTGAGAATTGCCATTTCTTTGAATTTTGGACAGAAAATATGAAATACTTTTTATTTTATTTATTGTGCTCAATCACATTGGTCCAGCTGCCAGAGCTATAATAACTCAAGGAACTCAGAACAGAGGAAGAGAGGAAGGAAGAGGAGAAAGGGGAGTTACAGGAGGAAGAATTCAAATAGGGATGTTTGCAGGGGCCAGTGCAGGCCTTCATGAGCCCAGGGAGTGCTCTGGCACCATCATTTGAATTATTATCCAATATATTTTCATTCCCAGTGACTCTCACGCCCCCTCCTGCCAACTTCCCTCCCACTGATGCTCTGAGGCTTTCATTGCTTGGGGTGGAGCGGAGTCCAGGGAAGAATAAAGAACTCAGTCCTCAGGTTCGGATGCCAAAGTTGGCTCAGAAAGCCCATTTCAGAGAGGGGAAAAAAAAAAAAAAAATATATATATATATATATATATATATATACACACACACACACACACACATATATATATATGAAAGCTTGGCAGACTCAAGGAGAAAAAGGAGTATTTTTACTTTTATTTGTTTTGCTAACCAAAAGCTAGAGAATTGGGAGGATTCAGAATTGGGTGTGACTTGGGGCATTTCCTGGACCACAAGGACTGAAAGGTGACTTCCTGGGCTGGGCGAGCGGGGACCCAGAGGCAGCCTGTCGGCAGAGGAGAGGTGCCTGGGTCCCCATCTGCCTGGGATGAGGCTTTCCTTGGGGCCCCACAATTTGCAGGGCAGCCTCAGGGATGACAGGCAAGCCCTGTTCAGGCAGAAAGATCAAGAGTTCCCAGCTCAACCTACGGTCCACTCCCCCTATACATGGCACAAGGAGGTCCAGAAAGTTCTGAGAGGTGGAATAGATCCCAGCCCCCAACAAAGCGAACAAGGCAGTCACCGCCCTGGAGAAGTGCCCGGGATGGACAGGAGCAGTGGCCGCGGAGCCGGGCTGCGGGGCGGAGGTGGGGACAGCCGGCGGGCGCTCGAAGAGAAGCACGGACTACATCCCTTCTCATTCCGGGTGCGCAGCCGTCTCAAAACGAAGCGAGGAAGGAGCCTGCAGAGCAGACAACAGCCTTGCTGAGAAAGGCGTGCTCCTCAAGGGTCCGAATCACCTTCATATTTGCCTCACCGACGTTACATGTGAAACCTGAGGGCCAGAGTCATCTTAGACGCGGGTGGGGGCGCGCTGGTGAGCGAGTTGACCTCAATTACGGATAAAAGGTTGTACTTCCGCGTTTCTGCCCCGTGTGTCCACCTCACAGCGATTTCAGGAGCCTGTTCCGTTCCAGGGGAGACTTGCTGCTTCCTATCTCTGCCTTCCTGGCATAGGCTCCCCTGTGAGGTAAGAAGGTTCCATGTTGGTAACTAAGCAGTGGGTAGGCTACACCGCCCTTCAGGAAGGGGGCGGGAGCCAGTTCCGACATCAGCAGGAGAGCCTGGAAACCAGTAGGCCTGTCACCCACCCTCTCCTGCTAAGAGCTGAAGATGTTCAGGAAGGCCTGCTCGTGATGCACCCGCACCCCAGTATCCTATAGTGTCTCCACTGCACCTCTGCAGGCTGAACGGGGAAGAAATGATGCCTCCCTCCCCCTGGTTGGTCCACCCTTGCACCTTTTCTCAGCAAAGCTTGAGCCCAGGGAAATGATGTAGGAGAAGTTTTGCTCTGAAGCCATCTCTGCAGTCTGTGGAGAAGCTCCCAGTCAAGTGTTCTTTGGCTAGCTTTCCAAAGAGTCCTTCCCAAGGCATAGCCAAGACCAGCAGCATCACTTAGAAGCTGGTTAGGATGCAAATTTTTGAGGCCCCACCCAAAACTGACTGACAGAAAACTCTGGGGTATGAATCTGTTTGAACAACTGCCCACTCCCATCCCCAGCCTATGCAAGTTCACTCTGAAATGCACTGTCTTCAGAGACTTAAGTGGTCCCTCTGTGTTGAACTACACTAAAGAGTGAAGGCATTTCCGGATATAAACCTGAAGGTCCTCTGGAGCGCCAGCCTCCAACAGTATCCCAGGAAGCCATCATCAGTCCTCCAGAAGGAATGTCAGTTCACTGACAGAAATTGAACTTCTGAAAATGAAACAGGAGAGTGAAAAGTGGGCTTAAAACTCAACATTCAGAAAACTAAGATCATGGCATCTGGTCCCATCATCTCATGGCAAATAGATGGGGAGACAAGGGAAACAGTGACAGACTCTATTTTGGGGGGCTCCAAAATCACTGCAGATGGTGACTGCAGCCATGAAATTAAAAGACGCTTACTCCTTGGAAGGAAAGTTATGACCAACCTAGACAACATAGTAAAAAGCAGAGACATTATTTTGCCAACAAAGGTCCATCTAGCCAAAGCTTCGGTTTTACCAGTAGTCAGGTATGGATGTGAGAATTGGACCATAAAGAAAGCTGAGCGCTGAAGAATTGATGCTCTTGAACTGTGGTGTTGGAGAAGACTCTTGAGAGTCCCTTGGACTGCAAGGAGATCCAACCAGTCCATCGTAAAGGAAATCAGTCCTGAATATTCATTGGAAGGACTGATGCTGAAACTGAAACTCCAATACTTTGGCCACCTCATGCAAAGAGCTGACTCATTTGAAAAGACCCTGATGCTGGGAAAGATTGAAGGCAGGAGAAGAAGGGGATGACAGAGGATGAGATGGTTGTATGGCATCACCAACTCGATGGACATGAGTTTGAGTAAGCTCCAGGAGTTGGTGATGGACAGGGAGACCTGGCATGCTGCAGTTCATGGGGTTGCAAAGAGTTGGACATGACTGAGCGACTGAAGTGAACTGAACCATGCTTGTAATTCTAAATTCTCTGTGTGTGGCCCCAAACCTCACTGCTATGGCTTAATAATAAGAGGACATGGAGGAGGCAAAATTTGTGAGCCATTTCAATGCAGCCCACTGCCTAAACTTTCAATCTAGATAAGAGGTCACCCAGAGCTCAGGAACATTGTCCAGCTGCCCCTGCTTTAATGCAAAAATATTCCTGTCCACAAGGTAATCTTACCTTGAAGTTCCTCTTGTTTCTTGGGCCAGCTGTGGCCCAGACTAAATATTAGAATAACCTGAGAATCTATTGCAAAAGAACTAGTATGCCACAAAGATCCTTATTTAACTCATCTGGGGTGAGTCCTGGGCTCAGTATTTTTCTAAATTTGCCCAGTGATTCTAATATGTAGCTTGAGCTGCACCTAGGGTCTTGGCTAAACCAACAGACCCAGAAATGTCAAGTCTCCCTGATTGAAACTTTGTAGATTGTTTAAAGGTATAAAGGAGGAGGAAAGACAGATGGATGTGTCAGGCACATTACAAATATTAGCTCATTGGACTTTACAAATAACACTGAGAAGGTGTTGTCAGTAGACTCTTAACCAATGATGGAAACTAAGCAAGTGTGGAGCCAGGATTTAAAGGTCTTAGTTGAAAACCTATACCTTATTTGCTAAATGTGGAAACTAAGTGATACAAAGTGAATATATATATATACATATATATATGTGTGTATATATATATGTACAGCAGAATATCGTGAGCTAAACCAAGATGTTTAGCTTGAGACATCACAGTACACAGATTCCATATTGGTTCATACTGTAATCAACACTCAAAATACCAGACTGAAGGGGATTCCTTGGGCTCTTCTTACCAGCTGTGCAAGATGTACATTTTTCTCCCCAACCCGTCTTCTCTGGGGGGTGCCTAACCAGTGCTGTATGTGTAGGCTTGCAGTACCACTGTAGAGCAATCTCGTTCTGAAATGAAAACTGAGGGGTAGGGTAGAGCACTTCTCTATGCAGCTGGGTGATGTGACACCCATGTCAACTTCTTTAACCCTGGGTGTCTCCCCAGGACAATGAGAAGGCAGTATTGTTCTCAAAAAGAACAGACACTCTCCATCAACCTGCCTGGTGTCCCAAGCCAGGGACTTTGGACAGACACTTAACTTCCCCATGCCTCAGATAAAGTGAAAGTGAAAGTGTTAGTTGTTCAGTTGTGTCCAACTCTTTGTGGCCCCATGGACTGTAGTCCACCAGGTTCCTCTGTCTATAGAATTCTCCAGGCAAGGATACTGGGGTAAGTGGTCATTTCCTTCTCCTGGGGTCTTCCCAACTCAGGGATTGAACCTGGGTCTCCTTCATTGCAGCCAGATTCTTTACCGTCTAAGCCACCAGGGAAGTCTCATGGCTCAGGTAACCAATCTGTAAAATGGGGAAAGCACCTTGAGATGCCACCTCCTTGCCTGGCTGTTGTCAAGACTGTAATGATGTACACGAAGCATGGAACACAATGCTGATGGTATAACTTACTATTGTTTCATGACTTTAAACAGTCTTCTACCCTCTTCCTCCTTTACTAACATTGAAACCTACATCCATCACCATGCACACTTCCTGATAACCCCTCTTCCATGCAAAGCTCCAGGAGCCATGCTCACCACTAGTATAACATGGAACATGTTACTGAAGCAGCCCAATAAACTGAAGCGAGCACAGTTGTCACAGAGCTGCCTTAGTCACTTTGAATACAAGCTCCCTGAGGACAGGGACTATCTTGGCACCCATTGAATTCTCAGCATCTCGCCCAATGTCTGCTCAAAAAAGCTCAATGAATATTTGTACAATTAATAAACAAAGCATTAATATTCAGGCATGGCCACTCTAGAAATGGTTGGTGTTTTCCTCAACCCCCCAAAATCTCACTGTTGGGTCTCTGGCTAGAATAGAGGTATCACTGCTCTTCATTTTCTCTGCAGTTCCTCATCCATCCTGGACTCACCAATTTGGACCCCTGTATGGATGTTTCCTACTCATAACTAAGATAAGGCAAACTCTCAGCTCCTATAACCCACCATGTTCAGTTCAGTCTCTCAGTCATGTCTGACTTTTTGCCACCCCATGGACTGCAGCATGCCGGGCTTCCCTGTCCATCACCAACTCCCAGAGCTTGCTCAAACTCAGGGCCATTGAGTCAGTGATGGCATCCAGCCATCTCATCCTCTGTCATCCCCTTCTCCCCCTGCCTTCAATCTTTACCAACATCAGGGTCTTTTCCAATGAGTAGGTTCTTCATATCAGGTGGTCAAAGTATTAGCTTCAACTTCAATATCAGTCCTTCCAATAAATATTCAGGACTGATTTTCTTTAGGACTGACTGGTTTGATCTCCTTGCAGTCCAAGGAACTCTCAAGAGTCTTCTGCAACACCACAGTTCAAAAGCATCAATTCTTCAGCTAGCAGCTTCCTTTAAGGTCCAACTCTCACATTCATACATGACTACTAGAAAAACTATAGCTTTTGACTAGATGGACCTTTGTCAGTAAAGTAATGTCTCTGTTTTTTTAATATGCTGTCTAGGTTTGTCATAGATTTTCTTCCAAGCAAAAAGTGTCTTTTAATTTCATGGCTACAGTCACAAGCTGCAGTGATTTTGGAGCCCAAGAAAATAAAGTCTCTCACTGTTTCTATTTCCCCGCCCCCCATCAATCTGCCATGAAGTCATGGGACTGGATGCCATGATCTTCATTTTTTGAATGTTGAGTTTTACGCCAACTCTTTCACTCTCCGCTTTCACTTTCATCAAGAGGCTCTTTAGTTCCTTCTCACTTTCTGCTGTTAGGGTGGTGTCTATCTACAGTGCATATCTGAGGTTATTGATATTTCTCCTGGCAATCTTGATTCAAGCTTGTGCTTCATACAGTCTGGCATTTCACATGATGTACTCTGCACATAAGTTAAATAAGCAGGGTGACAATATACAGCCTTGATGTACTCCTTTCCCAATTTGGAACCAGTCTGTTGTTCCATGTCCAGTTCTAACTGTTGCTTCTTGACCTGCATACAGAGTTTTCAGGTGGCAGGTAACATGGTCTGGTATTCTCATCTCTTTCAGAAGTTTTCACAGTTTGTTGTGATCCACACAGTCAAAGTCTTTAGTGTAGTCAGTGAAGCAATAGTAGATGTTTTTCTGGAACTCTCTTGCTTTTTTGATGATCCAACAGATGTTGGCAATTTGAT